CAAGGCAATCCACTGGGGCACAGCAAAAAAATATTAGAACTTTTGCTTTTTTTTTAATCTAAAAAAGTAAGAAAGAAATCAAGCTTTACTAATATTTAATATGTCTTGACACTGGCACTCTCGTTTCATCTGTATGTCAGATGGTCACGCATGACGTAGATGGTACATGAGGTATCCCTGGAGAAGACTGGGTGCTTCACAACACAGAGGGGTGTTGACAATGGCACCCTCACTCATTCATTCATTTTCAGTGTCTTGTGACATCTTGCAGTTTACATGTGCCCAATTAAGTGGATCTATGGATTATATTTAGTTGTAACTAAACTAACTTTCACAAAACAACCAAGTGGCTTAGAAAGATTCCTGAAAAAAACTCATTTCATAGAAAACATTGCTGAAGGTTTGAAGAAACAAGTATTAGAACAAGTTATGGGGTGTGGGAGGTTTCTTATACAGTTGGATGAAAGTATAGGTGTTCCTAGCCTGTCTCAGTTTATGGCATTTGCTAGATTTTTTTAAATGACAAAATACGTGAAGAACAACTTTTTTTGTGAGTCACTAAAGATGTACTGTATTCTCAACAGTAAACTGTTTCTTTAATAAAAACTATGTTGTATGGAAAAACTGTAGAAGTGTAACCACTGATGTTGCTTTGACTGGGATAAAAAAAGGATCCCAGGATAAGGTTACAGCAATAGTAAAATTCATTCACTGGATCACCCATGCGCAAGCTAGTGCAGCAAATAAGTTGGAGCCAGAAGCACACAAAGTGCTACAAGATGTCATCCATGTGGTTAATTTTATAAAAACATGACCTTTCAATACTAGAATCTTTATGATACTTTGGAAAGAGATGGGGACTCTACAAGATGTCGTCAATGTGGTTAATTTTATAAAAACATGACCTTTCAGTATTAGAATCTTTACAATACTTTGGAAAGAGATGGGGACTCACCGTGAAAGTCTTTTGTACCACAGAGGCTCACTGGTTATTTCATGGCAAAGTGCTTAAGAGAGTTGTCAAACTTAAAGATGAGTACGCATTTTTCTTTCACAGAAAGACAAGCAAGTGTTCCACATCTGCTGACCTTTTCTGTGAGGAAAAGGGCCTGTCAGTACTATGCTACCTAGGACAATATTTTAGCAAAATAAAGTAATTTAATCTGTCTCTGCAAGGTAAAGGTGACGTTTTAACGAGTGAGAAAATAACTGCTTTTTTAAAGAAACTCATTGTATGGAGAGAGGATTTTGAAAATAGTTTGGAAACGCTTCAATCATCATGTGATACTGTTGTGAAAAGTGGTGCAAAGGTGTCATCTATAATAACTCTTATACCTATACACTTGAACTTGGAAACAATTTTCTAACCTGTTTAAAATCTTCTAAATTAAGTGTTAGTGGGTTTTCATAAAAAGCACAAAAATCCAAGACCCTCCAGTTAGCTTGCAAGAACAACTGATTGACATCAAGGAACATGGGAACTTACTAGCTGAATTTTAACAAACACCTTTGCATAGTTGGTGGATGGGATTGAAAAATTAGCATCATGATTGTCCTGGTTTCAGCTGGGATAGAGTTAATTTTCTTCCTAGTAGCTGGCATAGTGCTGCGTTTTGGATTTAGTAGGAGAAGATAATGTTGATAACACACTGATGTTTTAGTTGTTGCTAAGTACTGCTTATGCTAGTCAAGGACTTTTCAGCTTCCCATGCTCTGCCAGGTGCACAAGAAGCTGTGAGGGGGCACAGCCAAGGCAGCAGACCCAAACTGGCCAAAGGGCTATTCCATACCATATGACGTCATGCTCAGTATATAAACTGGGCGGGGGGTTTGGCCGGGGGGGGGGGGGGGGGGGGGGGGGGGGTGGCCAGGGGGCAGTGAGCACTGCTCAGGGACTTGCTGGGTATCGGTCGGCAGGTGGTGAGCAATTGTATTGTGCATCACTTGCTTTGTATATTATCATTATTACATTGTTATTACTACTACTACTACTATTTTACTTTATTTCAATTATTAAACTCTTCCTATCTCAACCCAGGAGTGTTTCTCACTCTTACTCTTCTGATTCTCTCCCCCATCCCATCAGGGTAGGGGGAGTAAGCGAGCAGCTGCATGGTGCTTAGTTGCTGGCTGGGGCTAAACCACAAGAATGATTTAGTAAGCAAAACCAGCAATGCATTTCTTCCATTTGGATCTATGTATCTTTGCAAAGTACGTTTTTCAGCCATTAAAAACAAGTATCAAAATAAATTGAACTTAGAAGCAGACCTTTGAATCTCTGTACCATGGTAAACCAAGATTTTAAAAAATAATGAAGCATATTCCATAGCATCACTTACTGAGAGTTATTAATTTTCCAGTGAGAGCAAAAAGGTATTTTGTACCACTTAAAAATTTTTTTATTAAATTGTTAACTTAATCTCTCATCTTTTTAAAATTTTTTTATTATGTACTTTATTAGTACAGGAGTACATGTGTATAATTTATAAATATATACAGTATGGGTGCATGCTCAAAATATTTTTTGCATCCAGCTCTAGATTCCGCAGTGCAAGAAAGACATGGACCTGTTGGAGCAGGTCCAGAGGAGGGCCACAAAAATGGTCAGAGCACTGGAACCCCTCTCCTATGAAGAAAGGCTGAGAGTTGGAGTTGTTCAGCCTGGAGAAGAAAAGCTCTGGGAAGACCTTACTGTGGCCTCTCAAGATATAAAGGGGCTTATAAAAAAGACAGAGAGAGGATTTTTACCAAGGCCTGTTGGTAAAGAATGGGCAACAGTTTTAAATTGAAAAGGGTAGATTTAATTGGACACAAGGAAGAAATTTTTTATGATGAGGGTGGTGAGACACTGCAACAGATTACCCAGAGAAGTTGTGGACACCCCATCCCTGGAAGCGTTCTAGGTCAGGTTGGACAGGGCTTTGAGCAACCTCATCTAGTGAAAGATGTCCCTGCTCCGTGATCTTTAAAGGTCCCTTCCAACCCCAACCATTCTGTGATTCTGAGATCCTACTTTAAAAATTCAAATTTGATCTGTTGCTGGAATGCTATTAGCAGTAATAAATTTGACACCTCCTACTTTAACACTAACATACTGTACGATCTCTTAAGTTCCACACCAAGTTTAAGACATTCTACACTGGGATCATGCAAAACCTACTTGACAGCAGTCTGGCCTGTGGCAAAAATAAAATACCCAGCATAAAAGCCCAGGCTTGAATTCCAAGTAATTCAAAGTAAAAGAAACACCTAAACCTCATCAGAAAAAGCATCTTAACTCTGTAGTACCGTTCAGATCAGTGCAATGCCTTTTTTTTCTTTTTTTTTGAAAAAAAACTGACTCCCTTCCCCTCTTTCCACTTCTCTACCCCAATGGACACCATGTCAGACACCAAACAAGACTTCTCAGCAAAGCATGCTTTTCACCAACGCTTGATGACACGGACACAACAGTAAAACAGGAATTCAGGTACTGTAATCCAGCACTAGGATTAAACCACTTCTGTTCTGAAGAAGGGAAGGCACTCTGGTGAACTCAAAAGAACACACACTTCCACATGAAACCTAGAAAGCTTAAGATGCAGATTTATTATGCATTAGGAAGCTTATTAACTTAAAAACCAAACCGCATAGTAAAAAATGTTTGTTATCTCTGCTCAATGTGGAACAAGTTTCAAAATATATATTTTTAAAATTTGTTCAGTCAATACACAATCCTTTTAAAAAACTGTATATCTGTCAGTACCCTCATTACATTTATAAATACAGGATTTACACAGAACCCCATCTGGAAAAATTAAAACTCCTTACAAATATCTACATATATTGCATACATATAAAACATTCATAGGAGTACTTCATTAAAGTTGGGTTTAATGGTCCATTTACACTGCAGCAAAATACATATAAATCTGTGTATTTTTCATAAAATGTCTCTAAAAATTAGCACATTTGTAGCCATTCATAACTCCTTTAAAGCATCTTCTAGAAAGGAAATTTGATATGAATATATCCATAAGATTCAGCAGATCAGACAGTGATATGAAGACTAAATATGAGTAATAACTGAACACTAAGTAGCAGTTAAGGCAGGGGTGAAAAGAATTAGTAAGAAAGATTATTTCATATGGCAGATAAAGTGACAAAATGCAATAAATATACATTTTTCTTGATGTAAACTACTCTGGCACCCACTGTTTTTCCTGCCTCAGAAGTCAGGAGTGTCCATATTTCTGACACTGCTCATTTTATAATTCTGTTATTTTATCAGCAACACATTAATGTGACCAGTGCTCTCAGGTGCCATCTGGATTTGCTTTAACTGCTCAGAACTGACTGTTCTGCAATGTGGCTTTAAAACTTCAATATGACCTTCATTTATGGGCAATGACTGTCATGTGTGACCATACAACCTCAGAAGTCATCTCAGTTTCATCATGGCTTTCTGGTAACTACTGGACTAAATAATTGTTACTAAATAATATTTGAAAATGTGTCTCCAGGAAATTCAATTACTTTTATTGATAACCACTATTTCAGATACCAGAACTATATAGATCAGTCCCTCTCACATAGTGAGGACTATGTCTGGTATACATGCAGACAAAAGGCATAAGAAACGCAAAACAACCTTTAGCAGTGGTGGCAGAAACTGTTCTGCCTCAAACCTGATTATTTTGCATACAACTTTGGGAACTGAACATTCAAACTTTAAAAAAAGTTCCATTACATTTGTATATTCGGGTTTCTACCGAATACCAGGATTTGACACAGCCTTTGCAGTCTAATATTGGGTAGAATAACACCTAGTTGTGACCTGCCATGTTAAACAAACCCTCCTGCAAGTATGGTATCAACCTCAAGTATCATACAGCACGTGACCTTTCCCTGTACACAGCTGCCTTTCTTTCAGAGGCCGAATACTCTGTACCTCACACCACGCTCCCAGAGCCACAATTCAGTGCATGAATTTGTTCCATAGTATCCTCAGAAGTTACCCTTCATACACTGCTATCTTGCAGCAATGGTTCAATGTCCTCTTCACTGCTTCGGTCTAGGTTGTTACTCAGAGTACTGCTGATGCTGTTGCTGTGTTTTCTGGCACTGCTGGTTTTGCTGTGCTCAGGAATAAATAAGGCGACTAGAAAAGCCAGAAGGACAATGCATGCTCCAACAAGGAAGGGTGGACCAGGAATGATTGCTCTCTGTGGGGAAACAAGCATATAAAAGAATTCATGAAGTTTTTGACATTGACTTCTGCATTAAGAACTATACCATTAGGGCAAGAAATAACGGGAGATGTATTTACAGTGACTATAAAGCTTATGCAAACAAGTTCATATGTTAACCACAACATGAATTTGCTGTATCTACAATCCCGAAGAATTCCTCACCTGATCTGCACACCAATCTGAAAAACAGAAACATGCACAAAACTACAAACTGACAATAGGATAGCCTAGCAGATGAAACAGACATTGACTGATGCTCCTTTGTCCTTTTTTTTCCTTTAGGCAACATGCCTGTTAAATCAGTAAGACTCCTCTGAAGATTAATAGGATAAGGTTTCAACACCCAGAAGTACAAATCCTCAATCAATCTTTACTCTCAACTTCACTTTTTCCACTTGCTTCCATGGCTGACATGCTTCAGAATCAAGTTAACCGAATAAACAAATGCACCCAAAAACTAATACACAACTTAAAATACAACACATCCACATTTCTTAACCAGAATTAAAAACAAGCACCAGAAAGGTTGTAAGACTAATTTTAAACCAAGTAAGTTTGATGACAAAACTCTACAAAAGAAGTGTCAGCAATGCAGCGATTCTTTTTTTTTTTAATCTTAAACAACTTTTCTGTACTTTCATCAACTAAAACTAAATAAAACCAGAAGATGAAATTCATCAACCCAGAGTACATTTTTCCTATTAAATGAAACACAGGAAGTGCAGAATGATCTGAGGGGCTGGAGCACCTCTCCTATGAGGACAGGCTGAGAGAGTTGGGGTTGTTCAGCCTGGAGAAGAGAAGGCTGCGAGGAGACCTTATTGCAGCCTTTCAGTACTTGAAGGAGGCCTATAGGAAGGATGGGGAGAATCTTTTTAGCAAGGCTTGCTGTGACAGGACAAGGAATAATGAATTTAAACTAAAGCAGAATAGATTTAGACTAGACATAAGAAAGACATTCTTTACAATGAGGGTGGTCAAGCACTGGAACAGGTTGCCCAGAGAGGTGGTAGAGGCCCCATCCCTAGAAACATTCAAGGTCAGGTTGGATGGGGCTCTGAGCAACCTGATCTAGTTAAAGCTGTCACTGCTCACTGCAGGGGGGTTGGGCTAGATGACTTCCAAAGGTCCCTTCCAACCCAAAGCATTCTATGATTCTATGAAGTTATTTCAATATGAAATGGGAAAGTAACTGAAATTAAGCATACAGTAACAGGATATTTCCCTTGCTTCAACTCTTGTTACAAGCAGAGGCCTAATTTTTCAGCTGATGCTCTCTAAATTTAAAGTATATAAACATATTAACAGAATTTTTATTAACAATACTACTTAAATCTTCAAGTGGTGCTAAGCCTACAAGTACTTAAAAGAATGTAACAAACCTCCATAAATTAATAGCCTCATTTGTAGTGAAACAGCTGATTTATCCGAGCAGCTTTTGAATATTCCACTACTTCAGTTTCACTGAAGAGAGTAAGAAGTTTTGAAAACCAGTCTTAACTCATTGCATTACCAAGAGTTATCACTACTCTCCAAACACAGCCTATGACTGCATTGTTTGGTTTAAGGGCTCCAGCTGGATAATTATAATGATGCAACCTCACCCTTCTCTTTAGGCTCTCCAGTTTTGAAAACAGGTATTTAAATGGGAATTAAGACAGTTATGCTTAACTTTTACTATTTATGCTCTGTGGACCGGATACACAATCTTTCTTGAATAGGTGGCATCAGAGGTGGAATCACAAGTGTGCCTGTTCTTAAGTCCTCTAGAGTAACAGAAATGAATACTTAAAGGCAAGTCAAAAAAAGAAAAAAAGTTAAGTTCAAGCTGTTTAAAAAAAACACAGAAACAACCACTAGGCTGTATTCTCCTCCATTTACTCTACACATTAAATAACTGAAATTTGCATCCAGACATTCCTGTCACCACTGTTTGGATATGGAAGTTTACAGAACCATTATATCTAACAATTTGTTTTAGCACTCTGTCCATCAGTGAACACAGGAGACTGTATCTGAAAGATACAATACTGAATTATGACAATAATCAGCTTTCACTAGTTAAACTTTTTTTTTTAAATGGGACAAGACAGCTTGCTTTCAAAGTAAAATGTGTCAAAAGTTACACAAACAAATTTATTCTTCACATTAATAATTTTAACAATACCTATATAAATAACCTATTTCTCATAACAACTTAAAAATCTATTTCCTGTAGTTTCAGTAACACCCAGTATTCAGTAGTGGAAAAAAAGGAGGAAGAAATGTTTTTAATTCACCTCAACAGCACACTAGGTTTGATCAAGGTTCAGCACAGTAACAGTGCATTTTTAATTGAGTTCCTACAGACTGATTGCCTTTGACAAGCAGGGGTAGAATACAAGCTTAAACATCAAAAAAAAATTACAATGCTTGTCACAGACTAAAACACATTATATCAGTTAACTGCAGTTCCACAGACATTCAGTAACTTTAAAACAAGGTACTTGACCATTTAAACTTGTTATTGGAACACTTCTTATTGAACATTTATTAGCATTTAATAAATCAAGAAAATATTTTCCAAACTATGTATATCTGTAAAGCAACTCCTAGGTACCAATTTAAAACACTGAACAAAATCAAGAGACAAGTAGCTTGCATTTGGGCCTTGCAAATCCAAGGTACTAGTATCAGTGTTGTAAGCTAGACTTGTACACATTTGCTACTTCCCTTGTCTAATCTTGGCGCATTCCCTGGTTTTTCACTTCCACTCATTTTACTTCGATCAATTTTTAAAGCTATGCAATATTTAAATTGTGGAGTTCTTTCCCATTGTTATATTAGACTTGAACATAAAAATTAGTAGGAAGAAAATTGTATTGTTATTTTCCTGAATGGTTTTATGGGTTAGGTGCCTGGTAACTATTAACTGTAAATGTAATTACAGACATTTAACAAAGCTTATGAGTACATCCGTAATTAAACATAAGAGCTGTCCCACTGAAATTAGAATAAAAAGCAATCTTAGTTATGTAAATACTTACTGATTTTGCTGTACTGCTAACTAAAAAATGTCTACTCATTTATTAAGTAGGTTTTCAAGAAAACGAGGATGTCTGAAACAGTTTAATTTACACTTACAGTTTAGAAAAATCTTTATTTTATAGGGAAGCTTATACATTAAGCTTCAGCGCAGGAATTTCTTCTACCACAAGCTTTAGAAAATTCCACCACAGAAGGTTTGACTCATTTATAACTTACTGGAACAGTCAGTTGCTCCACTGTAATACATTTGGGCTACTTCAACAAAAAAACCCACATGGGTATTCTTAAAGTAACAGAACATACTGAAATTACTTCTAACAGAAATGTGCATACAAGGTCAAAAAGCCAACATACTCCCTGCCCCGAAGAAAAGCTTATGTGATTCAATGCTTTAAAAAACAGAGTCCAAGAGCAAAATTTTAACTACTGCTTACTAGAAATTTTAACTAAACTCTTGAAAACCTGAAATCATGATTATAAACGTTTTCCCATATTTTGCTACAGTTGCCTTTCTGTACAACAAAAAGAGTGTCTTTGCCCCCTTACTCTAGAACTCTACTTAGTTTGCTTGAGCAAATTACGGAGCACCTCATCACAGGTACAGCAGTAAGCAATATGTTCAAGCACTTGTTACAGTTAATACCTGGAAAGATGCACGGACTGGGGGATGACCAACAAACAGTTGTTTTCACAGTAACAGACACCAGTTATTCAGCTAATCTGTTGTCTTTCTTAATCAGCTTAATGACAAGCTAAGAGATCATCAGCTCTCTGAAAAGTCCACTCTTAGTATTTTGAAAAAAGCCGTGATATTGTAGCTGAAGAGGTTAGAGCAATCAAGCTAAAATGAAAAAAAGGGTTCATAAGATTCTCCAAACTCTGGTAAGCATAAATTTGGTATTTTGGAAGCCAAATAGGAAAGAACAAAGCAGACAAAAATGTAGACCTCAAACAAAGGTGGAAGGGATACAAGAAACAACTTGAGGAGAGTTCCAAAGAAATGTTGTATAGTATTGACTTCTCCCCTTCCCATCAAGTTTCATACAGGCAAGTCTTGGGCTCTCAGCACAAGAAGGACATGGACCTGTTGGAGCGGGTCCAGAAGAGGGACACAAAAATGATCACAGGACTGGAGCACCTCTCCTATGAGGACACATTGAGAGAGTTGGGAGTTGTTCAGCCTGGAGAAGAGAAGGCTGCAAGGAGACCTTATTGCGACCTTCCAATACTTAAAGGGGGCCTACAGGAAAGATGGGGACAATCTTTTTAATCCTGATGTGACAGGACAAGGAATAATGGATGTAAACTAAAGAAGAATAGATTTAGACTAGACATAAGAAAGACATTTTTTACAATGAGGGCGATCAAGCACTGGAATGGGTTGCCCAGAGAGGCAGTGGAGGCCCTCTCCCTAGAAACATTGAAGGTCAGGTTGGATGGGGCTCTGAGCAACCTGATCTGGTTAAAGCTGTCCCTGCTTACTGCAGGGGGGTTGGGCTAGATGACCTCTAAAGGTCCCTTCCAACCCAAAGCATTCTATGATTCTATGAAAGGTGATGAACAGCATTGTTACTGCCATTGGGGCAGGGGGGGGGGATCTCAACTGTAAACTGAATTACTGTATATAGAAATAATTAACATATTACTGCGAGGTTTAAAGATAAACTTGTTACAATTTACCGAGTTACCAAAAATGACCTTTCTATTTTCAAAATTTCGTGTTTCACTGTAATCAGGATTATAGCTGTGTTTTGAGTAGATTTACATCAGAAGTTAACTGGTTTTCTGTTAGAATACTGAAACCAGAGCTGTTACTACTGTAAATCTAAATATTTACTATTAAATTTAAATTATGAGCTATCTTAATATTTCAATAGAGCTGACAAGTGAGAATTAAGTAGTTCAAAAATTAGATATCAAGATTTTAAATCAACCAAAAATGACAGATTACGAATTCTACACTGCAAACTTCACACCAAATTTTAAACTTACCTCATCACTGGGATCTTGCATTGCTTTTTTTCCAGAAGTCTGATCAGATGGCAATTCGCTGAGCTCCACATGGAAGAGAAAGAAAATAAAGCCATACAATGCTGGTCCCAGGCCATTGCACAGACCTCTTATTCCAGTTATTATTCCTTGGACAACACCTAACGAAGAAGAAAAAAAAAAAAGTAGGACTTTTTTTTTTAATCAAGAATAAAACACTCAGAGCCAACAGCTCTGAGTGTATCCTAATGTCTCTTCCAAAATAGCACATCTCAGAATTATTTCTACATACTAAGATCTTAAGAAATACATTGAAGACAACTTTGCTGGATTAAAATAATCCTCTGCATGACCATAGTTCTGTCACTGTACTTGCATGCTACTAGAAGCAATATGAGTTTTGAATACAAGTGTCTAAATTTATGTCCAAGTCTAATTTTCCATATTAGAGTTCTCCCACCCTCACCCAAAGCCTACAACGAAGAAAGCAGAGGTGGTGTGGTACCTGCTCAATTTATTTTCAAGTGAAATTTAGAGTAATATATCTGTGTGTTAAGGGTTGTTATTGGTAAAATATGCACATACTGTAGCAGATGTCTTCCCTTCACCAGTCTCAAACCAGGATTTATTTAAGTACCAAGTAACTTATTCGGGGCAGTAAATTCAGCAGTACTGCAGTAAATTCACAAAACAAGATTGGTTGCAGCTTGATTAATCAAAGGCATATGGGTGTATTTCTGTTTCAACTTCATTAAGTGACTGTGACAACAGTATAAGAAGCTTTTCAACAATCTTACAGATTAGATTCTACAGAACACTATTTTTACAGTATTAGTAGTCTGCATATCCCCTCCTTTCTTATGCAGTAACTTGTAAAATGGAAGGAAAGAAAATGTGCCAAAAAGTTGTCCAAGTTTTTTCTTCATAGGTTGACATGTAAGCTTACAATCTTTGTGCCACTAGGTGGCAAAACTTCACGCTAGAAAAACTATGTATTGTATGCCTGAGCTATTAAGAGTAGTTTCCTCTATACAAAGTGAAAGATTGATGACTTCTGTCAACTTAACTAAACTATTCATTTCATGATATAAATAGAAAACAAGTCTTTTAAAACTCTTTTCAATGTCTCTAATAAAAAAAAAAGGGGGGGGGGAACGATAAAAAAAAACCCATATAAAATACTGTCTTCTGCACCTTTCAAACTCAATACAAATCTGCCTCCTAGAACTGCACCTCCTTTAATCTCCCACATCAGCTGCACTTACCTAACTTCAAGTTGTACAATGTTAAAGCAAGACTGATACTTATGATTTATATGTACAGAATTTTTTTTGAAGGGAACACTGAAGTCATTTATTATATGCCAGTGTTATACTTTGTGATGACTCCTTCCCTCACTTCATTTTAAATGAAGAGTTATTTCTATTGTTCATTCCCCTTCACATCAAAATCAATTAATTTTTATGCCTTCTCAGATCAACTTAAGCTTTTCTATTCCTCAGAAATCTGAAGTATTAGAGCAAATAGGGCCAACTTTTCCACACAGAATAGAGCTTCTTGTATAGGCTTATTTTAATCTGGTAAAATATGGTTTTAGTTTCCATTAAAAAGATGGTATAGTTGCATTAATCCTCACTACCTACTTAAGCGAATATTACTTTTAATAAAAAAAGAGGAAGGAAAAAACATAAAAGTTACCACATCTGGTTTTGTTGCTTTGGTAGTACTCTACAGGAAGCTAGAAGAGAAGTAGCTGGTCAGATGGAAACTATGCATTTTGCAATGCAAATGTGATAAATTTGTGTACCTCCTTCCTCTTTATATAGATTAGTAGTAGCTGTGGAAGTCTGCTAAAGAAACTCATTACTCATCAACATATTTGAAAAGTACACCTAGATAAGTATTCTGCTTTCTAGACAGATGAGTCATGCAAGAAAGAAGTCTGATGCTGAAACAGAAATTCAATCAATACTCACCTTGTTGATCTGACTCTGCATTTCTTGAAACCAGGGCACTGATTGCTGGGAACGTAATGCTTGACATTGCGGCTACAGCTCCAGCTGCCCACATCATCCTGTGTCAAATACATAACTTGAATTAAAAATGAGATTGCCCATATAATTACTCCCCACTGCCCCAAAAAGGGCCACAAGAGTACCCTCATTTAATGCTTAATGCCCTTTCAAAAGTACTCATTAAAATACCTAAAGACTGAAAATTATTTGGTCAGGGCCTTCTTCCTGCTCTCCTCCCTCAAATTACCCTGAGCTTCTTGGAAGAGAAGTGCATTTGATTCTACACTAGCTATTACAGCAGAGGAAAAGAACGAGTGGGAGTGAAGTGATGCATGGGCTTTCCCTCTCCAAAGTCTGTACAAGGGAACAATGTCACAGGGTGTCCCCGTGAGGCAATTCTCTAACTTGTATAACTCACTAAGGAGCGCTCTGATAAAGAACAAGCATTCATCACTGTCAGTAGGACAAACTTTGTAAAGAAAAAGCTGTTCCAGCTTACAGTTCTAGTTCACTTTACTTACAGTTTTTCCAACAAAAGAAGCTCTAGATAGTTTCCAAGACCAAATATAGTTATAGTAAGAGAATGACATGTTAGAAAAAAAGAAAAAAGTAGAGGTCCAGTAACTGATTGATGGAATGGAGCTAGTGGAACTACCGGAGAGAACACACTACTTACTAGCTTGTGAACTTAAGAAAAAGTTTTAACTGCATTTGTAGGCATAAAACTCAGTGGACCAAAATGGTTCAAAGACTCCTTTTTCAAAAGCGCTGTTGGTCTGCAACTTACACTATATATCTGGAAAATTCTATCTTTCCTACATGCACAAAATACAGACCAAACTTGGGTAGTATAATACAAATGAGAAAGCTTAATTCACGGAACATTTAAATACTCATGACGCCAGAACAAAATGGTAGAATTTCTTGGAAAAGCATTTGCAGTTCCTTAGCAGGTATGTACCTATGAAAATGCATGCTTACCAGGACTGAGATCCAAAACCATACCAAGCCAACTGAAGGATTTGAAAGCCAAGGCCAAGGAGAACTGTATTTTTGTTCCCTATCGACCTCATCAAGATACTGAGAAACACAGTCTGCAAGAGAAAGTTGTTCATCCAAAAGTTATTTTAAAAAGCCAGATTGCTAAAGTAATTTTCCTTCTACACAAATTAATTCAGAAGACCTTTCAATTGCTGAGGAAATTCACACTATTTGTGCTGTAATTTCCCCTGTATTAAGTCCAAAATGCAGACTGGCCATATCAACATTTAATGTACAGACATTCTAACTATTAAAGAGTTTCTACTTCAGGACATCAAGAAGCATATGTATTGCTTTCTTCATGGATTATATCTCAGTGTCTGTTTCCACTGTAAACAGGCTTTTGTTTCCACCTCTGCAATTCTGTTTCATTACAGACTAGAGTTCCACAATAAACGCCGGTATCAAGTTAAGATAGTACAGGCTGGATATGGGTTGAATTTACCAGTATCTATAAATACTAGAGGAATAGAAGACTGTTAGCTCAGAAAAAAAGTAGTCTCTTTAGGTCAGGTGACTTACTATCCAAATTTACAATTAAAACCAACAAGTAAATGCTGCTGCTGTTCTAACTTCACCACATGCATTGAAATTTGGCTGAGGCCAATTCCTAGGCATCTTTAATTACATTTTCTGTTGACTCTTTACACCACTCATATCACCTTTTTATTTGCACACGAAAACTAATCCTGAAGGAAGACCACTGTTTTTCATCTGTTAGAAGCGTTACTGCCGATGGGGAAGAAGGTCCCAATTCAGATACAACAGCAATATGCTCACGGCAAGAAGCAGACTGTTCCTAGTACGGTGAAGTCCATATGGACAACTTCGCTCAATTAACAGTGCATATGTTTTTCTTTAACATGAGAAACTCAGCAATGCATCAGTAAAAAGCCAAAGAAAAGGAACAAGGACTGCAGAGCAGAGCATTCTTTCTCTCTCACGTACATCTTAGAATAGTTATCTTCTTTCTCATTCTTAGAGAAAGCTAGCTTGAAAGCTAAACAGCAAAAATACAGTAATTCTATCTACATGTGATTAGTTCTTTCTGGCGATATCCAACATGCCAACACATTTATGAAGCAAAGCTTATTTCAATAAGCTGCACTCTTCAGAGAGTTCAAAAAATCAATGCAGAGTTTCCTCATTTTAACACTGAAAATTATAAACCAGAAGGGCAGCCATTTTAGAGATCTTTACCAAAAATACTGGTCTGAATAAGGTATGATTGGGAAATGTGAGGGCACATAAAAGCATCAGAACAAACCACAGAGCAAGGATTAAAATAACAATTTGTACTGATAATGGAGAATACAACCGACACCAGTAAAACTCGTAAACACTGAGGAACGTGTTGTTTACATCAGAACTGTAAGACCTCCACTCTGCTAAGGATGGCAACAAGGTTACAGCACATTGTATGCGCCATTCCTCTTCCTGCTATCACAACAGGAAGACAAACTGTACCCATAAAGATACCAAAGATGACATCATAAAAGCTGCTTGATTCTAAAAGGTATAAAAGACCTGTCCAAAAACCAGCTCACTGTTGCCAATTAAGAGGTATGAAAGCAATATACCGAGGCCTCACAGTTCCTCAGCCTCCATGCTAAGCCTAAGTAAACCTGGACTGGCCATGTCAGTACCTGCATTGTTTGTACGCAAGTTTGATAGCATGAGCCAATTGAATAGGTTCAAGTAGCACGACTTTTACTTAAAATAAATAACAAGTTTCCCTTTCAGAAGGCTTTGCATTAAGTAACTGATTTCCTACATCATTTTAAACATTTAAAGCCAGAGTTCCAGTAAATTTACTGATCCAAGCTTAGCAAATTTTAGTTTCATCTTCTGATGGCTGGGTCCAGTATTTCTAAGGAAAGCAGACTTAAGCAAGACATCTGTGCAGACTACATATGAATATAACATTTAGTGAATGCAAGATACACTGGCATTTTAGAGCATGTAAGAAGTTTATAGACAAACTTAATAGTCAGAGAGTGTGCCTCAGTATCCCATTTGTACTGTTTAGTAGAACACCAAAAAGAAGAAAGCTTACCTGAGCTATTATAGACAGAACGCCTACCACAGCTATAAATGCTGCAATGCTAGCAGATCCAAAACCTATAATCTGAAGAGAAGCAGAAAATGCATAAAACAAGTGCCAAACACAATCCAGGACAATCACTAGCTAAGAGATGATCTTCTTCAAAGAAAGCACTGATCCCTGCTTATAATCTAAATCCATACAGGAAGTGTCACTTTCAAGAATAACCCTTAAACTCAACTGCTTGCCAAGAAATCCAAACAAGAAAAAAAAACAAACTACCTTAAAAAACGGAGACAGGGGAAATAATTTATCTTGAAATTGACATTCTCTATCCCATCCCATAGACACAATAGCTCTTTAACAGGCAAGATCCCACGTCGAGACATACAAACTGCTGCACTGAATGGGAACAAAGGTCTGCTTAACTTTATGAACACATGCTTAAGCTATGGCAGGCTTTGTGCGTCAGGAGTAAAGTGTTACTCAGTTCTTGGCTTCGCAACGTACTCTGCCTTTATTTTTTAAATCTGTATTTTGCCAGAAAGCAGTTTTCTGAGCAAAGTCTTTAACAAGAAACAAGTCTTAGGGAACACTTATTTAAACATCCTTAGTAAGATGCGAAGACACCAACATTTACCTGTCGCAAGTACAGAAAAAAGCTAGAATACTGGCCAGCCTCAGGCAGGTAAGAGAGAAACACTGTAATGCAGATCGGGAGAACCGTAGAATCTTTTCTAACCTTCTTCAGAGACTGTAAAACAAAGGAACAAAACAAGTATTGGAACATTTATACAAAGCTTAATGAAAGCATAAAGAAAGCAGAAGGTGGATTCACTTTTTAAAAAATCCATTTTTACCCACACATACAAGTCACAAAAAAAAAAATCTCACACAGAAACAGCCAAGCTGAACATTAAGTTAGAAACAACCCCCTGTTATATAAGGTTTGTGGTATCTGATTCTTCTGCAAAGTTTCCATTTGATTTTTGAAGCTACTGTTCAGTACCAAATTACAAGTATTCACTGAAAACGGCATCATATAATATTTAGGGATATGCATAATATCTTCTAATTGATCTCCATAATAATCTGTTCTGAAAGATGCTAGCAAATAATATAGCCTCATTACAACTGTTTCTCTTCCTAAATTATGAGTATTTTTCCCTGTACATTTCTTATACTTGTTCACTCATAGTATGAATCAGTTTGTGTAACAAATAAATTGTGGAAAACAAATTCTTTAACTGCAGTCTTTCAAGTATGTCATCTACCTCTTAACATTCACAACCAGTTTCCAGCATGATGGATCTTACGAAGAACAATCAACCCTTTCCTCTCTTAAGATACCAAGGTGTAACATAAACACAAGTCAGCTGAGTAAATGTGAATAAATGAACAAGTTACTAGAAAGACTGCATGATGTTTTAGCCCTTCCTCTATATGCCTGTAGAAAAAAAAAATCAGGCTTTATAGATCCATCCTATATTAAAAAGAAATCACATATAACCAAAAATGGAATTCAAGAGTGGGGAGAGATACTGCCAACCAAAAGTACAAAGCATAAAATGAATATGGAAAAGTCTTACAGTATCAGGTTTTGGGGTCTGTAACAGTGTATGAATTCAGCATTTCTCTTACAATAAAAAAGAGCAAGTAAGTTAGAAAAGTAAAGCATTTTCCCTTTAGATTTCACACCAAACATTGCTTCCATTTCAAGAATCGTTTAAGCCACAAAGTTTGGTTTCGTTTTGGTTTTTAAATGCAGCTAGATCTTATCGTGCAAGAGCAGAGAACAGAGAATATGGTATACTGAACAGTCAAGCTATCAATAAGATTAAAGATTTCTCAAGCTACAAAATGCAATTTATTATTATAATTTAATCATCAATTATTTATTAATTACTTACTGAAGTGCAACTTACCGCAAAAGGGTCTGCTTGTTCCCATGATATAGAAGCTCCCCATGAAGCAGGTCTCATTTTTTCTGGCAGAGATTCTGGTACTACTAGCAGGATGAAACAGATGTCTACAACAGCCACCAATGTGGCCACTAGTACAACAAGGTTATCTCCATAGCTGGCAGACAGGTATGCTCCAATGGCAGGACTAGTTACCAAACTTGCTGCAAAGGTGGCAGATACCTATGCACAAGAACAGTTTACACACTTGTTAAAGTGGTTATTCTGCCATTGCAGAAAAATGAAGTAACTTGCTCAACACCACCACCCCTCCCCAGAAGTGTGGTTTAAGTAAACATCAGTCAAAACTTAAGTTTAAAAAAAAAAAAAATCACTTATGACTGTAAATATGGGTCCAAATAAAGTTTTTCCAGCCTCCTCGACAGCCCACCATATGAGACAGGATTTGCAGTCAAAAAGCAAGTCTGGCTCAAAGGAAAATGGCTCTTACTGTCAATTAGACTAAAATGTTTTTTGTTTTCCAATTATGAATTTGATGACATTTCACGAAAAAGTTGTCAGCTCATTTAAATGCCTGCCTAAGTGAATGTGAGCCTCAGCACTCTGGGTGATACATAGAGTAACACATAATGTCTTTGTTGACAGTTTGCATTTTAAATACATAGCTACCACTGGAGAGCACAGCAAACTAGGAAATCATTAGCTATGACAACAACTTCAACAACTGTATCGCTTCATACTGTGTTGTAGTGACATGTAGCTACTAACAGATCACTTACTGTATTCACATACAGAGGAACATGATGAAAAATCAAGTGCTGTAGTTAAATTTTCACTATAACAATCATCAGCAAAGGTTAGGATAAAGCTAGTTTGTTTGGGGTTTTTTAATAACTACACTTTCCTAGTCCCCAAAATAAAAACACTCTGCATAACTACTTCATAGAACACAAGCTAGAAATTTAGCTTTATACCAAGCTAGAAAAAAAAAAAATCCTATGGAAAAGGTGTAACTGATTAGAGATACAGACCTCATTAAAACAACTGCACTTTTGTCTATCACTTCATAGCTTTTTAGATCAAGCTGTTTCTGTTAACAAAAAACTGTTTGAAAGCAGGCAAATATATGCCCCAAATATACTGATGGCCCTCTTTATAGGCAGGAGAAATGAAGTGGGAATTCCAGAACTTTTAAACCTGCTTTGTGCTCTGCTACAACAATACACACAAGTTTGGTTCAAGACAACTAAGTCCTTTATTTTCCTAACTGTTAAATCAACATCTGAGGAATCATACATCCCTAAGGCTAAAAATAAAGGGAAACCTTAACAGCTCAAAGTACAATACAGTCAGCCAAAAATCAAGTCCAGGAATACTGGCATAGTGAAAACACATGCACAGAGGATGAAGGGATAAATGACGTTCAAAGGCTAAGGGCATCTACCAATGGGCCTCCAAAATCTAAACCAATATAGATATTCAGGAAAGCAAACTAGCAGGAATTATATTATTACTGGAAAGGCTAGTTTCTACTAACTGAACTGTTTTCGTCTTCTCTTGCTAATCAAGAAAGGTCATGACTAAGTTACTAAAAATACTGCATTATGCATTTTTGCCCTTCCTGTTTTGACTATAGAAAAAGCCATTCTATACTAAAAAGAAATCACATAAACTAAAAGTGCAATTTACAGGTCATGGAAAGATTTTGTCACATCAAGTGTCAGACAACTTGCATTGCCTTTAACAACATTTCTTTTTCTGCCTACAAAACTTAAAAGATACTTTGGTACACATGCCCTCTATATGCAGGTAAAGTTGTCAAATTTTTATTCTGCTTCTATGAGCACAGAGCAGTCTGTGCAGCAATAGAAAGTCTAAACTAGATTTCCCAAACTCTAACGCAGTGCCTTGATGCATGGTTCATTCCTTTCTCCATCAACCTCCTTACATTAATCAGGAAACAATCTGTGCATCAAAACACAAATTCAATACAAAGGTCATAATCTGACCTTTTTTTCAAGTTTAGTGTATCTTACCAGTCCATAGGCTGTAATTCTTTCATGTTCTTGTGTTACATCAGCTACATAGGCAAATACTACAGAAAAGGTAACAGAAAAGATTCCAGATACCGAAATCATAGCGAAGTACCACCTAATGATTTAAAAGCAACAATTAGAAAGTTTAAGCTAAGACCTCTTGCTTTCCTTTTACTAATCAAGCAAGTTTGTATTTAAGCTATGAGAAGTGTTCCTCAAGAACTAACATAGAGCTTTACTGGATGATGAGTGCAGTCTCACTTAAATACTGGAAAACAGCATTTTAATTTTTAATTTTCTACTGTTTACATGAGCCTAGAAGAAGTGGCCCCTTCAGGACATGGTACCTATAAATTTCCACAGCCTCAAAGCTGAAGCAAGTTTAAGTTATGAAAAAGCAACTATCTTAGAACTTGGTTTCTCAACCAGTTAAGGAATAAACTATCATATATAATGCTTTGGAAGCTGAACTCTGAATGCACTCAGTGTACACAAAGTTCTTTTGTAATCCTCCTAAGTTTCATAATGAACGTAAATGAAACTGAAAGCAAGTCAATTTCACTCAGTTAAGACTTCAAAGTTACCTAATCAAAGACTTAAAAGATCTGGTTTGCAACAACTATACCTTTCTGTGGTCAATAAATTCTAAGGTTCATTTAGCTTTAAAAATGTTTATTACAGCACTGTCAGTCCTCAGGGGAAAAAAATTAACAGCTGAGCTTAAAACTGAGTTAGACAGGGCTATTAAACCATTTCAATTACTGTTATACTTGTGTGAATACAGCAACTAAATCACATTCCATAATTCCTACTTTTAAGATACACACAATTTTTAACACCTCTTAAACAGAAAAGCTCCAGAATAATGCAATCACAATCTTGAAAGGAAAGCGGCTTTCCTCTTGTCTTATTGTCCCTCTCCCGCTTCCCCAAACAACTAGTCTGAATTTCTGCTGTACTGACAAGCTCGCTACTGCAGTCTGTAATACTTACCATGGACTTATTCTCATAAACGGAATTGGGGCACAGGTGAAGAAAACTGTAAGAAGAAGAAAAGATTTTCTTCCCCATGCATCTGATAGAGCACCTATTAGCGGAGCACTGAGAAAGGACAAAAAACCCTGTGACAGAAGAAAAACAACATGTCTATATTTTCATGTCTGAGTTTCACTTTAACCACAGTATAAAAAAGGACTAAAATTGCAATTTGATTTTAAATTAAACACAAAATTGTAGATAACTGAAATTATACACAATTTCTTCTACAGTCTACTTTTCTGTGATTCTTATGTTTTGTTTCAAATCTATTAAAAAAAAAAAAAGGCATACACTTTTTCAAGGTCAATTTGATTCAAGACAGAAGTACCGCAGACTGCAAAACCTTCTTAAAAACCTCCAAAATCCGCAGTCTAGTTTCACAAAGGACATTTTTCTTAGCCTCTATCACAAGACTTAGTGCTAGATCCCAAACCCAAGTTCCCCTCTAATTTGGACTGTCTGAAGGGACAGTTTTGGGTAACCCAACTGTTCTCTGAAACAAATTAAACAGAACACTGACTGATTTATACATATTTATCATGTACAGAACATTTGTACATTGCAGGAACTGTGAGGACCATTTGAGCAAGCTTTACATCTTGAGACAGTGGAACACCACAGTGATATTCCAGTGGCAAAAGTCAGACTTACAAGTACAGTTGTCATGGAAAAAAATTGACTAAGGATCAAATACTAGATTTTTCAGCATTTTCTAAAGTCCTAGAATCTAGGCCTCAGATCTGTTCTGTATTACACAGAAGAATTAAAATAAGCAAAGCCTTTCACAGCTTTGTTGACTGCAAAACCTCCAGAACAGATGCATCTTCCTCCTAATTAGGATATTGTTCTCTCATCAATCCAACTCTGCTATAAATCCAAAGGTTAGTAAATACGTGGTTCTGCAAGAACCTCAATACACTGGAATTCTACTCCAGCTAACTTTAGCTAACCTCTGGTATTCAAATACAGTCATCTTCAAGTTTAACATGTGTGTACAGACTACTAAATCACTATTCTGCCAAATCCCAATAAACAACTCTGATTCCAGTGATTTCAGTAAGTAAATTGAGAGCAAAAGCTATAAAGCCAGACCACCAGATCCTAGGAAAGTTAGATGCCTTACTCAGTTGAAATGAATGGGTTTGCTCCTTAGAGTCAGATTTCAGTAGAATATAAACTAACATGTTTTACTGTCACCCAAAACACTTCTTATGTTTCATAAACAGCATTTTAAAGAAAATATTGCACACTGAAGTCCAAGCTCACTCTGGTCTATGCTCCCCTGTTTATTACACCTGTTAGAGCAATACATATATTTAGACCATGATATTAATGCACATTTCTACAGATAGGCTCTGTAGAAAATATGTGGGGAACCCTCCATTCACTACTTTTAAGCAATACTCATAGTTACACTGCACTGTGAATGAACAGAGTTGAAAGAAAAAAACAAGAGGAACATGAACTTTGTTTTTCTAAGAGAACAGTGCAAAGTTAACATCCTCTTTCAGACACCCCAATATCCCTAGTGCATGGTGTTCTGCCCATCCACCACGAAAGATATCAAGACAGCAAATCCATCCTAAAGATGCAATGTTCTTACACCTAAGAACAACAGTTTAGATTTGTTTCACCATACAAAGCTGAATAATTTCTCGGTGCTACATTAACTTAGTCGTAAGCTACACTGTAAGTGCTCTGAAGCCTCTCAGTAAGACTGTTAGCAAAGAAGAGACTTTCAAGTTTTAGTTATGCTAGAGAAATTTTGCAACCTTTTTTTGTGGCAACAATCCAGCATGACCACTGTGAATGCAGTGGTATAAGTAAGCTATAAGATGACCTGTCTATCTTGACCATCAGACAACACTCAAAAACCGATTAAAAAAAGAAAGACCAGGGAAAAAAATAAACAACCGTGCTGAAAATCAGCTTTTATACCACATCTTGGACAAAAATCACAGCGTTTTAAGTGGTTCATATTTTTATTTGAATGATATCATCATGGCTGCATTAATCTACTTTTGATGTAAATCATCTAACATTAAGAAGCAGACATTAAAAACCTAGTTCCATTCTCAGAAGAATCCCTATCAAGATTACAATAGCTACAGCTGGTACCTACTCAAATGAGAGGAATCTTCTTCTGAGAAATATTCCACTTGGTTCACAATGCTACCATTTGTCAGTAAAACTTGAACAAAGCTCAAGAACACAACCATTACAATGAAAAAATGGTTTAAGAATTAATTACATTCTCAATGTTTTGGATGTTCTTATAGACAATAAAGGAGAGAGAAACTACAATACAGAAACACACAGGATATTCAGGTCAGAGGTTTAAAAAAAGAAATCTTACCTTAACACCTTGAATAAGACCATTCATTAAAAATGTATGATGGGAAAATGTTTCATGTAAGACCTGATGGGGAAAAAAAGCATCATTTGAATCAGATGAGATAAGAGAAAGTTGATTCAAAGCTTAAATTTAATTTGTAAAACAGGATAGCTCTGTTGGGTCTTGTTAAAAAAGTATCTTAGCCTAGAATTATACTCTTATTTCTCTTCACGAGAAAATATTGACAAGGTTTAATATCAATTTATTGGCATAAATTCCTCTGTTGGCACAGACCACACTGTCCTGCAGGGATAGTTTGGTTTGGGGTACTTTGCTCAGAAAGGGCATCAACGTTAGCAAAAAGCATCTCCATATGATACAAAACACAGAATTTTTGAGGTCGATAATTCCTTCAAAAGGTTGACTCAATCATTGTCGCTAATTAGGAGTGAAAATGAGATTCAGCTAACCTACTCTGTCGAGAAAAAAAGTGCTATATTCACAACTGACCAAAAAGGCACTGTGCAAACTCTTTCTGAACGAACTGCGGATAGTCAATAGTCATACAGTTAGAAACACTTCTGATGAACGACTAGATGCTTATAAATACTAGCAACAGGTCTGAGTGTTTCATGTATCCTTTTAAGTACAGCTATGAATTCATTTAAGTTGCTTTACCAGCAGTCTTAATTCAAGGGCAAGCATGTTAATCTATACTAAACAGATTTACCATAAATATGCAAGAGAGTTAAAAGGACTCACAGGTGCTACTGTGTCAATTGAAAAAGTTATTGCAATGATGAAAGCATGTATGCACGCACACTTCAAATTCATTTGATGTTTTTATAAAGTGCCAACAACTACAAAAATTATTGATGTGCATATTGCGAAAGCCACTAGCCTGAAGAAACACAATACTTTAGTCCCACTGAAAAATACCAGCATTTTTCAAGGATGACTGAGATTCTCAAATCATAGGTTTAATAAAGGTGGTTGTCCCATGTTAACTACTGGTCAAGTAATTCTGCTTATTTACTCCCCTTTTTCCTTCTGGCCTCATCTTCTGTTTAGGTATTTAAAACAATTTTGCACCTGTTTGACCACTGATCTTATGATATGGAGAAAAAAAGCCAGGTTTCAAATTAGAGATCTAGAAAGCAGATGTCTTCCAAATCAAAATAAAAAAAAAAAGCAAGCAGGAAGCTCACAGAGTGAAATCTAACTATCTTTCTGTAAAGTGTTTTCCAGTATTTTTCCTGGGAGGCAACCAGTGCTGATACTGGTTCAAGCTTTGAGATTAATTTCTGTTACTTTATAGACAAGAGAAATTAAAGTTGATAAACTGGAGTAAGGCAGTTCCCTCTCCAAGTTCTACTGATATAAATATTTACATACTCAAAAAAAAGAGTACATTGAAGACAGAATATGCCATTAAGTGATTAACATTGCTCATGGTGATTTTCTAATATTGGCTTACAAGTCCATAAATGAGTAATGAGCATAAGGTTCAGGCAGTCTGTGAACAAAATAGCCTTTGTGTGCCTTTATAAACACTTCAAATCTTTTCTTCTCTAAATACAGTGTCATATAACAAACACTACAGCTTCGCTGACAGATGTCAAAAGAAGTGAAAAAGTAATCTAAAAATGAATTTTAAATAATCTCAGCTATCACAGAATACATACAATTTATTTTGATAACACACAACATAACATTTTAATCTGACTGAATGTTGACAATGACCTGGGGAATCACAACACAACCACAAAAAAATGTGAGTGATCAGGAGCTTTAATCAACAGGACAGACATTTCCATTTCTGCCCCTCCTACCAGAGAGACCTGCTTGAGCAAAAGTGGGCAGCCGGCGGTTCAAAGGCTGAACCTTGCTTATAAGAAAGCTCTACATGACTTCTAGTACCACTGGCTGATCAGCCGGCCAAGGTAAGCTACCGCAAGTATGTTACAAGACAGAAGGGTGCAAAGTATCAAACCAGATTTGAAATTATTTAAATAAAACAGCAGCCTTTCAGTGTGTGCAAAGCTTATTACAAATAAAGATTATCACCCTCAAGAACACAGAAGTCATTTATACCTGTGTAAGGTAAGTTACACCATTATATGTAACTCAGTGCTTTAAGTTTTTGATCCAATGCAACAGCCTCTTACAAGACCACGTAAAAGAGTAACACAACATTGAAAATACAAGACATTCAAGACCACGACTGTACTGAATCAACATACTTCCATCAAAATAAGAATTTCGCATTACATTAGAAGCATTTTATAACATTACCATTAGATACAGTGCAATAATAAATACTAATTTCAAGAATTAACATTTCAACTGCATGTGTCTGACAGTAAAAATATTTCAGTTGGAGTACACTACTGAGGAACTACTGAAGAACCCACCTAACATACAGTTTTATTAAAGTGAGGGTTTTTTTGAAGACTGCGTAAGAATTACTATTTGCACATTGTCCTTTTAAATGAAAAGTGTCAAGCTAGGACAACTTTAAGTTGAGCATTTTGGTTAAGAAAAAGGGAAGGGAAAAAAAAAAAAAAAGAAACAAGGAAGACCACCCAGTAAGCTTCCCCATATTTTGACACTGGCAAGACAGCAGGACAAGATTCAGTGAGCCATCTACTTTATGGAAATCCGTTAACTGTTTATATGGACTTTTTTATTATTAAGCTATGTTTAAAAGATAAGTGCTTGTCTTTAGGATGGTTAGACAAACACCTTTCAAGAGTTAGGTAGCTATTTTTTTTTGGAGTTTGGGGAAGGAAAATAATTAACTCCAAGGTCTTTCAATCCCACAAAACCCTGTTCATCATGTATTCAAAGTGGTCTCAGATGTTATCTGATGAAAAACTGGACTAACAGACTTTTGATGACTTCTCTCAGGCAGGCCTGAGTTCAGTGAGGAAGACCCAGCTCTTCAGATGAAAGGCTTCATATCCTATTACCAAACACTCAAATTATCTATTCATCTGGAAAATAACTGCACTCCAGAACAGATTAAATGCTTATAAAATCCATTTCTTAGATGCAAGCCTTTACATTTTACCTCAAGTTACATTCTGGCAAAACAGCCAGCACACAATCATATACAAAGTTTACTATGGGATGCGTAGTTTATTCAATTGTTATGACTGGAAGATGAATTGAACTATGAAGTCTTAAAAAAGGCCAGCATTTCCAGAGAGACTTTCATTAGTACACTAAACTGATGTTACTCTAAAAGGCAAATAAAAGTTGAAGAGTAGTACAGCGTTTTGCTAATCTATTTTTCACCATCTTTTAGTCTTTCAGCAGTCCAGATCTCAGCTGTAGTACACTACTATTGTGCAGCACTGAACGTTACGACTCCTGGAATTCAGTTAATGAGGTAAGCAGGGAATGTAAAACAAATTAAAACCCCAACCCCTAGGAATTAGCAACTTAACTTTGTCATTACTGCCAAGATGACAGCAGATCAGTGATACTTACTGTTAGCATTGGAGTTGTCAAGAGCCCCCAGGCAAAGAATTCTAGAAATATGACCACCACCGCATGGTATACGCTTGGCCGACCAATACCTTGTTGCTAAAAAAGAAAAACACATACAGCAGTTGTACACCTCCAGTTCATTACATGTGCAAAGATCTATAAACATATTTTGAGCATAACCATCTTTCAGGATGACCTACTACCAAGCCCTTAGGAACAATAATAAGCCAAACAAGGGTGGAGAGAAGTTATTGCAAAACAACTAAAGATCTCCAGGGAACTTGAGAAAGTTTCTTCCCTCAAACTCTTGCTGAGTGAAGAGAACTCTCTTCCTGATTCCTGACATGCAGGAGAGCAGCAGCCCTGTACAGCTTTCACCTCCAGGGCACCCTCAGGTTTCCTCCCCCTTGAACTCTATTCAGAACCCTTCCACAGCAGTGTGACAAACGGTGTAACTCTCCCTGCTACCTCCACAAGTGACAACAAAACAGATCTGATTTACGAAGATCACATCACTGTTACAACAAAACTGTGACAAGGTACATAATCAGAAGAGCACCAATTTTTGTATTTGAAACTGCCAAAGTATGATAAAAGAAGGGGCAGCTTATGCCACCTCTACAACCGCTTTCTGTTGAGTACTGACCAACTGGTATCATGCTCATGTGTGCCCATAGACTAGAGACCCAGGAGCTGTTCTACTGGTCAACAAGTAATTCCAGGAAGAACTAGCAAGCTATGGAAGTGCTAATAATGCTGTGAAACCATTGCCATTCAAAAGCCAAGGACTGGATCCCAGATGAGAGATCAGGAATGTTTTTGCTTAGATGAACCAGGCAGAACCCTTGGGTAAACAGCAGATTTATCCAGAGCTGCTGCTTTCATTTCTATGTGCCCCTTTGCTGTAATAGCCGTTTTATAAAGCTTTTGGGTTCTAAAATTACATTTTTCCTTTCCCTTACCACTTGTCCTGTAGAAGATTGTTTTTCAGTGTTTCTAGCCAATCCGAAGCCATTATGCTCCAACAGGACTGGCAATTCTTAAAAAGGAGCAGTACAGTGTTCTCATCTGGTACTCCCATACATACTTGAAGTTTACCCAAAATATAAAAAAGACACTTCTCTTGCACGTTGCACAATCTAATAATGCAGGATTCAATTGAAAAGACATTATCTAGTGACAAGTGTCAACCTGATTGTGTCATTCCAGCAGGTGGAGAGTAGGGAGAACTCAGGGTCTCCCACTGAACCCAAAAAAAGTCAAGACAGCCTACAATGAAGATAGAGCAGAGATGTATTTAGTGTTTCTCCCCTGCCTAGTACATTTCATCTAGATTAGTAGGAATTACAGGTTTAGAAAAAACTTGTATTACAAAACTCGTTTAACCTAACTGCCTATAGTAAAGATTTTTAAAGAAATCCCTACTGCCTGGACAGCCTAAGTGCCCAGATCTCTAATAATTTTTAAATCTATCAGAGTTTACCAAAACCTGTAGCAGCAAACTAAAACTAACCCAGAGAGCATTTTTTATAGCTAATGAGATTCATATTATTTTCTACATTGCAGCTTGCTTCAAAGCTTGAGGATTTGAAAAAAAAGTTCTCTTTCTCCTGGGAAATAATAGGATAATATCATAGATCAAAGATTATCTCTGGGAGGCTGATAACTTTCAAGCATTATTAACATTTCTCTGTAGGTTACCATGCAGTTTTTAATCTCTAAATAGCAAAGATTCCAAAGATCATGGGGGGGGGGGGGGGAAAAAAAATCCTCCTCATACAAGAAGTCTGCAAGTACTGTGTGTAATAGGATAACAATTTCAAGAGTATTTCTTTGCCAAGATGTCAGTTGGACTAGCACTTAACACGGATTACACTGAGGTCTGAAGATCCCTTCCACAGCAGTTTCCTCTGGAAAAGGCAAATTTTACAGTAGAGAGTAGGTAAGGGACTCCCGAGCCTTTCTCCTGCCTCTACTTTACTCCCCCCGCACCTCTATATCACTAAGCATGATGTTGGACCATAAACCTCTGGTTCACATTCAGCAAACAGTCCTAATGTCACTAAAAATGAAGTTGTGGAGCGTTTACATTTTTTAATGATGTTTTTATTACATGCAAATTTTACCTGAGATTTACATGGTTTACCAGAAAGATGACATACATACTCAAAAAGACATGCATGTTTTTTCATCAGAAGTCATTCAAAAACTTCAGTGAAAGAAAAGTATTTTTGCTGTACTAAGCTTAAATGAGTATTTCGTGGAGATTAAAATAGTCTGCAAATCATTTTTGGCAGTGTCACGCAGCTTACAGACAGTTGCACTGAACTACTCAAAAAACAGATTATCTCTATAGCCTTTTGGATTCAAAACATAACCTGGCAATGTAGAACTTAAATCCTGAAAGGAACATGCACCTGTCAAAATGTAGTCAAGCATTCCACATCAGATATACTAACAGCTACCAATCTATGATCCACATTGACTGTAGTTGATGATTTTCAGGTTTTTTACAGAGCCCTAAATGTCTAGATTAATTCAAGAACACTTGTGCAAATGGCTGTACCAGGAAACTAAAATGATGCAAACAGGAAAATTCACTGACATGTCAAATGGACAAATGCAGATCATTACTTCTGGATGCCCATCTTTTCTGTAGGTCCTAAAAACTCTGGTCACAGAAGCTTTCAATTTTTAATTAAGCATCGAGTTATTTTTAGGAAAACAGCTTACGACTGATCATGTGCACAGCCTGGACCACTGATAAAAAAGCAACAAAAACTCTTACTCATTTCAAAATCAAAGAACTTACTAAAAACACTTAACACTTCCTTTTAAGATGAAACTACATCAGAAGTAATGGGTGTGGCTCATTTCTATATTGAGAAAATACCTTGCAACAGAAGGCAACTGTATGCAATTTACATAAAGAATGAAACTGAGACACACATGCAAAAAATTATTATAAACTTGAAGCACAAAGAGCTTTAGGCTTCTTGAACTAGACAATATGGGGACAACCTACTGAATTTTTTATGGTTAAAAAGATTTAAATAGAATTTCAGAAATAGCCCAGATACAGTCAACATACAAGTTCCTTTCATCATCCCCCACCTCCAAATTTTAAAGTGTTAATTTTAAAAACTGAGCACCCTCAGGAAAGTCTTAAAATCTGTTATGGACTTATTTTCTGTCCACACTGATCTTCTTCATGTGACAGCCCAGTGTGTGGGCTGAGAAACTATTTATCAACATTATGATTGCTTTCAAATGCAGCTGCTAGTCAAGCTATTATACTTGCATAATCTATAATGAGCAAAACATTATGTAATCTCAAATGCTTAACAATAAAAGTTTAAGGCTACCATTATAAAATCTTAAGTCCTAGAAGTTCTAACAAAATATCTACTATTTCTCCAATTTTACACTTCTGCTCCTTCTATGCTTCTTTTCTCCCATACCCAACTTTAAAACACGTTTTTTCTTCTGCCTTTATTGGAGGCAGAATAAACCCAGAAGTTAATTTGAAGACAACAGGGAGATCTACTGCAAGGCAATACAAACTTTCTTTTTTTTAAAGCAGAACACAGCTGTTGAACATTAATAAACCCATGAGAAGATGTGAAGATCATAAATCCAGCTGGCAAGGAATTGCTCATAGCAAAGGGGAAAAAATGCAATATAGTATGAGTAAGAATACCTTATCTCAGACATTTTGAAGGAGAGCTAGTACAGTTCACCCTAAAATACTCCACAGCAAGACACAATTTTATAGCCAGTCCCAGATCTTCAGAGCAAAGGTAGAATTGACAGTATTCATTTATTCACACAACTTTTAGGTAACTATTCATCTGTTAATGCAAATCTGTAATTTAACAATTAAAATTGTTTGAATGGCAGCAAAAGTACCTTAACATCCAATATGAAACATGCTTAACTGTTTGCTTCACTTAAGCAATATGCTTATTTCAGAACAAAACCACTTCTCACTGTGCAAATCCTGAAGTCCTCCAAAGCACCTTTTCAAACTTTTCATATTTGGATGAGGGCCATACAGTCCTGCTGTATGTGTATAAGCAGATTAAGAAACAGACTCAACTGGATAAATACAGCATGCTTCCCCCACCACCACCCATGAGGGTGAAGCAGCAGAGCCCATTCATTGTCCACAGAGCTGGACATGCATTCTCCATCCTCAAAGGGTTTCAATGCCCAACTGGAAAAGCCCTAGGGAACCTGCTCCAACCTCACAGCTGATCCTGCCATGAGGAGGAAGAGATCTCCCTGAAGCCCCTTTGCAGTCAAATAATCCTCTTATCTCTCAGTCAGATAACAACCAAACTCAAGCTGAAATACTGAACAGGCTATCACAGGAACTTGCCTTTCTGCCCCCACACCCTTCTCTGAATAAGTCTTTCCCACCAGGCAGCAGGGACTCTCAGGAGAGCCTGCTAGTGCTTGTTCTACTTCCAGTACAAAGACACCTTTCAAACATCACTCACTGTCCTTCTATAGTATGTAAACCAACATTCAAGTGCATTAGTACGAAGAGTTTTCTTTTTAAAGACCATCGACAGAAACATTCTCCCCCTACAGAAATCAACTGCTACATTTTTTTTTTACACAAGCACCTGTACTGCAATCCACTATGTTAACTCCCATGTCTTCAAGAAAACAAAGAACTGAACTAACAGAATCAGTAAAACATTTTGAGAAACATGCTTTCATGTATGAAAAATTCAGACCTTGAAGTTCATGCCAAATTATAAAGCATATTCCCTTTCTAAATTTATGTTCACTGCTATTTTCTTAGTTTCCCCCCACAATTCAACCATTTCAAATGCAAACTTCTCCTGGTATGCTTCACTGCATAACTATTTAGTTATTTTAGCTTATTCTAGCACAAATACTATGCTACCAATCCATCTTGCTATGTTAGGGATGCTCTTTTCTCTACATGTATTACCCAGGTAGCTCTTTAGGCATATTACATGTCTACATTATAGAATCATACAGAATCACAGAATGCTTTGGGTTGGAAGGGACCTTTGGAAGTCATCTAGCCGAACCCCCCTGCCATGAGCAGGGAC